CCAGCCAGGGGCACCCTCGAGGCTGCCGGGGGGCCGCGCGGAGTGATGCCCACTCGGGCGCCATCGGGGCTGCCAGGGGGGCGCGTGGCCGGAGGCCCACTCGCGCTGTCGCATCAGGGAAGCGGAGACGGGGCAACAGCAGACGGGGTAACAGGAAATGGCCGGTTCGAGGCAAGAAACGCGCACTTTGTTGCAGTGAAGGATTTGTTCGGCGCTCGCGTGCAATGCAGCACCTGCCACATGTGGTCTGCGTTGAAAAGCTTTTCGGCTGCTGCACTGCATCTTTTTGTTTTGGGCCTCTGTTTCCGAGTCTGTGGGGCTTGTTTGCAGTTTTTCCGCAACTCGTTGCAGACAAAATGCAGTGCAGATCAACAACTGCCATGCAGTTTGTTGCTCCGACCGTTGCAGTTTCTCCGTCTGGATCCGATGGTGAGTGTGTTGCCCTGTTTGGGTGCTACCGGGTGCAGTTTTCCCTGATCGCACGGGGACGTGGGGCTCGTCGCACGTCTCGCTCCAGTCTCGGATGTCGGAGTTGCGGGCGGGGGGCAGGCAAGGGTCACCAGCCTCGAACTTATCCCTATCCCTGAGATTGACACACCAAAAGGCGATGACAATCTTAGGGATGCACCCTCAGAAACTGAGGGAATCCCTAAGATCGCCATCGTGATGAGGCGATGCCGAACATAGGGATAGGGATATGTTCCAGGCTGGTAAAAGGGCACGGTTTTCGTCGCGCTGCACGTGCCGCTCGTGGATATCTCGGGGCCGTGATGCCGTTCCCCCGCGCAGTGCTGGCCCTGCCGATCGCGCCGCTCGTGGCCGTCGGAGCCGCGGCGCTGGGCGGCGACGTCGCGCTCTCGCAGCGCTGCTTGTCGCCCTCGGAGGTGTCCGCGTTGAGCTGCTGCTCCGAGGCATGGGAAACGGCGCTCTGCTCGCTGCTCGTCGGGCTGCCCGCGGCTAACACTTTTTGGTCGGCGGGGCGAGAGCGAACCTCTTCCGCTAAAAGCTAGGCGGGCTACGCACAGCTCTAATGAGGGAGACAGGGCACAGGCAGGCGGGGCCTCAGGCGGCCGGAGATGGCGGGGCCCGCCCGCGGCTAACACACATAGTGCAGGTCATCACCGCGCCGTGCTGCCGGTCATCGTCCTGCTTCCCAGCGCCACGATGGAGACGCCCGTATCGTGGTGCTGACGTCGGCAGCGCTGCTCCGCACTGTTGAGTCGGCCGTGCCGCTGGTACACGGCACTGCTTCGAGTGGTTATGCTGGTATTTGCCATGCCAGAAGTCCTAGTGCTGCTGTTGGCTGCTGGTGCTGCGAGTGGTACCGGTTGCAGCAGCCAGCTTGGAGGCCAGATGAGGGGTAGATTAGAACCAACCAGCGCGCCCCTGGCAAGGGAGGACTGCTGAGACCCGTCGTGCTGCATAGCACCAGCATGCTGGGATCCAGAGTGCGTCACTCCTCTATATCAGGCCTCCGTCACGCTCGTAGGGTGCGCTGGGATCTATCATATCGCCATGCACCGCGGCGTACTTCCGGAACCCCTCACGCAAGCAAACGCCCCCGCCCGACTTCCTTGAGTACGAAAAGGGTCAAGAGCTCTTCAAGAAAGGCCACACCATGAAGCTCGAGGGGTTCTGCATGCACCTGCTGACCCAGAGTGCTATGGACCCCATCAGCCTGAGGAAGAAGTACGGTTCGGCGCTGAACGTCACGCAGCAAGAGATTTCTGATATCATCGAGGGTGCCCCCTTCGACTCGAGCGACCTCCACCCAATGATTAAGAAACATATCGAGGTGAAATCCTCGTTCAGCGGCACGGGCCATGCCAAGAAGAAGGCCATGCCAGACCCGAATTGAGGTGGCGGCTTCCGCCCCTCGCCTACCGCAGTACTGACTGCGGCTGGCTGGTTCAGGAACAGCTATCCTGCTGCTGTTGTTCCTCTTCCTCCTGCTCCTCTTCCTCCTCCTGTTCCTCCTGCTTCCTTCCAGGCCTGCATGGCTTCTGCAGCTTCCACCCAGCCCCTCCACTCCCCAACGGCGGCCCCACCAAAGCACCTTGACAACAAACAAACAACGCAATCCAACGTCACGCCGAGATTGCCCCAATGCAATTCAGCCGTGCCCCTAAAACTCCAGCATCGAAGCCTTGGATGGGCTAAGGGAGCGCTAAGACGACCCACGAAGCCCACCAGAGGCTCCCAGAGGCCCCCAAGAACCCCCGAAGAGGCCCCAGGAAATCAGAACTTTCCCCCTTTATCCTCACTGATTGCTTGCTTCTCTACTCCACCCTTCCCTCACATCTTTCCGCCCTTAACACCCTGTCCTGTCCATCCACTAGGGCCTCTCCTCCTCCCCCTTACTCTTTCTCCGTTCCTCCCCCAGCTCCGCTTCCACCCCATGGTTTCCCCTTTAGCTGTGTGTGTGCGCGAAGCGTGCCATGCTGCGCCGCGCGCGTATGCCAACAGTCGTACAACGCAGACAGGACAGTCCTCAGTGTGTGCCAGCGTCGAACGCGTCCCAGCCATGTGTATCCTTCCCCCATGTGGTCTATTCACCCGCCGCGAATGCACCTGTCAGGGGCTGCTGTTTTCCCATAATGCCCGATTGTCAAACGCATTCTAGGGCTATCCTGAGGCTATCCCAGGCCAGTTCCAGGAAGAGCCTTGTTAGGCGACAGTGTTATCCACAACCCTTGGCTGTTCTGTGTGTTTTGACCGGACGGGGGTGTCATGTTCTTAACGGATGTTCTTCTGTCTGAGTCCGATTGTATTGATGCAGTTGCGGCTGCCGTCGCTGCCGCTCTTGCACCCCCCGCTCCTCCCACTCATCCCCTTCTCTTGCAGTCGCTGCCGCTGTTCTCTCCGATGCCAGTGACCTGCACCCCACACGATGCTCGAGGTGCGAACGCGATGCGCGATCGCACTCCGCCAGTCGGCCCAAGAGCAAAACGCACTACCGCGCGTGGAAGTAGGTCGAGGAGGATAGCTGGAGTCCCCCACCGCGCTGAAGGGGGAGGAGTAGGCTGGTACGCAGCTGCCCATCTAGCTTTTAGCCTTCATTCGCCTTGACAGGCAACGCGAGAGTGCTGCGACCACGCGCACCTTCTATGGCCTGGAGGATTTCTCCGAAGGGCTTAGGCGACCCCTCCTCCTCGTCCTCCTCCTCCTCCTCCTCGCTCCCCCCTTCTCTTCCTCCTCCTCCTCCTCCTCCTCCTCCTCCTCCTCCTCCTCCTCCTCCTCCATCTCCTCCTCCCCCTCCCCCTCCCCCACCTCCTCCTCCTCCACCTCCTCCTCCTCCTCCTCTTCCTCCTCCTCGGGTCGCCTACGGCCCCGGGAGAAACCGTGCACGGCGGCCTGCGCCATCAAGGTCGCTCGAACCATCTCGAGCCGTTCTGAGACGCCTCGGATATGCAGCCCACTGTCTCCAGTTCACCGGTCTCGTTGACGTGGAGCTTGTCACGAAGAGATTCGCCCTGCGTCTGGGCAGTGCCATTGGCAGAACCATAACCAGCGACGTCGGCAGCACCAGCGACGTGGCAGCGAGAGACAGCAACAGTGATTGCGACACCGGCCGCGAACGTGACACCGACAGCGGCAATAACATCACCACCAGCAATGCACATGTTACGAGGCGCACGTCGGTATAACCTCTACTACAGCACCGACTCGTTTTGGTCGTCGTCGTGGTCCCCCTCCTCCTCCTCCTCCTCCTCCTCCTCCTCCTCCTCCGCCTCCGCTTTCTCATCCGCCTTCTCCTCAGCTCTCTCGTTCGCCATCACTTCTGTTTTTTCCCTCGGCCTCCTCCGCCTCGACCACAACCTCCTCCTCTTCCCCCCATTCTCCTTCGCTGCCTTCCCATCCCCCTCCGCTTTCAACGTGTGCACTGCTTCTCGCTTCTCGTCCGTGCGCCTGCCTTCCCACCCGGCGCCAGGAGCGAGATTCCAGAAAGCGGCGAGTGGGCACGCGCACGCGCTCCGTTGCGAGCCGGGGATGGGGTGACGCAGCGCAGCCGCGGGGAGAGGGCCTGGGAGGGCAGCTCGGGAGACGGCGCGCAGAGGAGGAAGACGAGGGGAGACGAGTACAGTCGGACCGAAGCAGAAGGTCGAGGCCAGTTCGGGGAGGGTGCCCTCATGTTCTTCGTTCCTGTTGGATGCTCTCGTGCATCCTGGGGGAGGGCACTCTCGAATGCTCTTCAGTTTCGCTGGCGGAGGGTCTCGCGTTCTTGAAGGATGTTCTTCTGTCCTAGGTCCGTCCGTGTGGGCGAGGGATGACGGCTGAGAGGGAATTGGTGGGGAGCAGGAGTTGGTGTTGAACATTCGTATGCGGTAAGGCTGGGAATGAGAGGTGCGCCAGGAGGAAGACAGGGTGAGGTCGGAGGGAGGAAGGTGGTGGGATGTGGGTGGGGGGAGGCGGATAGTGAAGACGGATGGTGATTGAGGGAGGAGGCAAGAGAACCAAGGGAAGAACAAGACAAGCATGAACATGACAAGCAGGCAGAAGAGGACAGCCGCCATCACCACAAACGGCAAAGGGGAGGAGTCAAGGTGGCGTGCCTCGCCTGGCCTCCTTGGAGCCTGGATCCTCTGGAGCAGCGCCTGCAAGCGCTGCTCGTGGCTGGGACACTAGGCTCGTCTCCGTGTCTCCATGCTAGCAAGCAAGCAAGATGGCCAAGCATCCTGAGGGACGCGTGGGCTGTCAGTATCGTTTCACCGACCCCCATCCCCATCCTCATCCCCTTCGAGACCCCGACCACATGACCATCCCAGTTTGGGATAGTCCCCTCGAAACCCGAAGGGAGCGGCCTGATCCCCTATCTAGGGGGGTAACATCGGCCAGCGGGGCCCAGGCCACGCCGCCACGCCCGATACTCAAGAACCCTTTGTGGTCTGCACGAGATGTTCTTGGAACATTTCTGGCCGAGACTGTCTTGTCGTAGCGCACCGGGTGCCTGTTTTAAGAGCGTTGTTCTTGCGATTCGCACACTTGTGGGGTCTGAGAGCATGTCGCGGTAGGCCTGTGGGAATGCCGGGACGGTCGGTCCCCGCTCAGCCTCGCGCCCGGGCCCACAAAAAACATGACACCACCCCACCTGCGACCCGCCGTGTTGGATCTTCGCGACCTCGCCTCGTGCTCCTTTGTGTGATGTCTTGTGGCCCACGGCGGCATCTCCACGGCGTCCTCGGCGGCAGTTCTCCCCCATGACTTCGATGTGATGGCTGGGGCCACTTCGTTGTCAACGTGGTCCAGGTGGTTAGGTTGTGGTGTCTGTTCGCCCCGTCTCCTCCTCCGTCCTCCTTCATCCCTCTTCCTTTCTCGTCCTCCCTTCTCCCCCCTTCTCCACATCCTCCTCCCTCCTCCCTTCCTTCCCCCTCCTCTTCCCTGCTCCTCCCTCCCCTATACGTATCTTCTCTTACCTTTTCCTCGGTCCTCCTCCCTCCCCTTCCCCCTTCCCTCCCTCCTCGTCCCTCCTTTCTACTCCTCCTCTATCCTCCTCCCTCTTCTTCCCTCCTTATCCCTCCCCCTCCTCCCTCCCCGCCGCCTCCCCCGTCGTCCTCCGTCCTCGTCCTCTCTCCTCCTCCATCCGCCTCCCCCCGCCCTCTTTCCAGTTGATTCGTCACTTCTCCTCCATCCTTTACCTCCCTCCTCATCCGTTCCCCTCCTCTCTCCTTTCCCCCTCCCCATCGTCATCCCTCTTCCTCCCTCCTCCCTCCTTCTGCCTCGTCCCCCGCCTCCCTCCCCCCCGCCTCCCTCCCTCCTTTCTCCTGCTCCCTCCCCCCCCATCCATCCTCTCTCCTCCCCCTCCTCCGCCTTCCCCTCCCAGTTCTCTTCCGCCTCCCCTTTTTCCCTCCCTCCTCCCTTGTCCCTCTTCCTTTTCCCCTTTCCTTCCTCCTCGGACAGCCTGCGGCATGGCCGGCTGGAGAGGCCAGCGCGGCCCCCGCCGGCCCCCCGCGGGCCTCCGCAGGCCCCTGCGGGCCCCCGCTTCTGGAGGGCTGCGAAGCCCCAAAAGGGGCCGAGCCGCCCGTGGTGACCCCGACGAGGGGGGTTGGCGGCGAGCAGAAGGGGGTAGGGGGCGGGGGGAAGGCTTCTTCGAAGCAGGCTGCTTCTTAGACGGCGCCGGCCTTACATCTACAGAGTCGGCCCGCACCTTCTAAGAAGCAGGGGTGCTTCTAAGAAGCCTTCTCCCCTCCCCTTACCCCCCTCTGCGCGCCGCCAAGGGGGTGCCCGCCCGGGCCGCCCACCACTTCGAGCCTCTCCGCGCGGCGAAGTTCTGCAGTGGATGCCCATGCCAAGAATCGCCCTGGTTGCTTCCAGGGTGCCCTGGGTTGTTCTTGGGCTTCGAAGGTTTTGCGATGGGAAGCGTGACGTTCCAACACCAAAAACCAATGTACTTCCTGGGGTCTCAGGGTTGGGTTTCTCGTGGAAGGTTTCTTGTGGACTGACCTTCGTTGTATTCGAGGAAGAACCACGGCCTCCCTTGCCATGTGCCGGCTGCGCCGGCCGCCATCGCGGGCAGTGTTTCCTTCGGATGCAAGGGCGTCAGTGTCCCCATGGGTGCAACGACCGCCTGGTCAAAGAGAGCTCCTGCCAGCCACGTCGAGTGCTTGGTCATCCAGTGCAGGCTAACGTCGGCTGATGATACGCCCCTCAGATGCTGTGCCGCTGTCGTGTGATCCTGGTACAGAACTCAAAGGATGCACGTCCCCACCCCCGCCTTCGCCTTAAGCCTCGTGTCGCAGGGGGCCGCCTAGTAAAAATCGAGCTAGGGCTTTCCGTGGAGGGCGCCGCAATCACGACACAAACCAGTTCGACGGGGTGCGGCGACGCTGTCCTGAAATACGCCATCGGCTTAAATGTTGCGTATGTATATCGCTGCGCTGAACAAGACGACGGGTGGAGGCAACGCGCCGCTGAGCAGCGCCTTGGGGTGCTTCGCGAGGCAAGCGGTGTATACCCTGAGAATGGGAATCTTGCGCGGCCAGCGCGCGAAATCGACGGCGCTGCTGCTGCTGCTGCTGCTGCTGCTGCTACGAGCGGTGTTTGCGCGATGTTATGCGCCTGCGTTGCGCGGCGGCTGCCCGAAGTCACCGCGCGGTCTTCGTGATGACAAGCCGACACAGCACGGAGGAACTGCTCAACGTTCCAACGTCGCGGGGTCGTAGGTGGGGTGGTGTCGTCCCTTTTTTGGTCCAGCCTTTGCTCCTTGACCCACAGCGGAAATCGCCGCGCGGAGTCGGCGGGTCGCTTCGGGGCGGCGGGAGCCATGCCCGTGCAAATCGCCATCGTGTCTAAGAACTACTTTCGCTGCTTGTTACGGGCTCGTGGCATCGACTCCGCTGGAGCTCATCGGGCTGTTCGCCATCGTGAACCTCTTGGTGGCTTGACGATTGCGTAAGCAACGCCTTCATTCCCGACCTTCCCAGCATCTTGTCGTAGACTGGGCGATTTGTTGCCGCTCGCGTGCGGTTTCGGCGGCCTTTTCGATTGGGGTCGACGCCGAAGCCAGATGGCGTGCCTTCGTTGAACTGTCTTCTTCCTTGGAGGTCTAGGCGGCCGCAGCATTGACTGCGCCGCGCGATTTCTGTGGACAGCAGACCAGGGCTTTTGAGAGCGGGTAGCTGCAACAACTGGCCTATGCGTCTGCATATCGGCTTGCCTACGGGCCCCGCTTCGTTATTAACATGCGCAAGCACCGGCAGTATCAAAACATCAGCATCGTCATCGCCACTGTCATCACCACAACTGGGTTGTCGCTGGCAACATCATGGCCGCCAGCCCCACCACCATCAAACGACCTTCATCGTTCGACGGTGTGCTAAACAATCACATGAACCATGACGTGGGTGGCAGAGCCAATAGCAGGCCGTGTCAAGTCTCTGCGGCCGAAAGCGCATTTGTCATTTATAAGCGCAAGTTGCCAACCTTTGCAGCTTCGGCTGCCCGTGGCTTGACCTATGGCAAACCGCAAGGCGCAACCCATAACGATTTTTTTGGCGCCGCCAGAAAGACAACTTGCAGCGACACTGCTGGCGCAATCCACTTGTGGCACCTATGCCCAGACGCACCCTCTGGCGGAGGCCATGGTCGTATTATGGTTCGGGTGCAACATTTTGATTCCATTACTATGGTTGGATGGGGTGGTGATCGCAAGGATGAGCCATCGGACGGTTTTGTGCGTCGGTGTCGGTGTCTGAAAGGGCTACGCCCGATGCATACCCGCCGCCTGGGTGCAAACGGCAACCCATGTAACAGACTTTGTGCATGCTGCCACAAACGAGCTGATTCTGCCAACAGGCTAACAACAACATCAATAGGACAACATGGACCATGGTGTCGCTCGTTGCGGCTGTGTGCTGCTTTTCTCTGGTTTACTTTGGTAATCGTGAAACGTTTCTTGGCATTATGTTTCGTCTATTCGTTGTGCATGCTCGGTTTTGTTTTGGAGTTAACAGGTATTGCATTTTGGTTCGCACCTTCTCCGTCGCCCTTGACCCCATGGGATCGCCTACACCGCGAAAGTCCTCAGGGGGCCGCTGTTATCATGATTAATGCCACTTCCGCATTTGTCGCCTCCATGATATCCGCGGTCACCGCTATAGCCACGAGGGTCGACGCAGCGAATGTTGTCTTTATCCCCACGTGTCAACAACACAAACAAAAAGCAGGGGCATAGCCCATCCCATTCGCCTCCGTTCAGATCCTCCTTTCTCCTTTCCTAGGGCCTCGCAAGGTGGGGCACCACTGCGTGCTGGGCCCCCGGTCTGAGTGTGTCCAAGTCGTGAGCTACGAGGAGACGCGGCATGCGAGCCGCATCGGCGCGATTGCCCAATGCCAATAGGTCACTCCAGACCGAAGGACTCCGCTGCCTGGCGAGCGCAATACATGTGGATCTGCCGTCTGCGGGCTACCTTCATTTTGAGGGCGCCTGGAGGTACAGCCCTGACAGTGAGGCGCGCAAACAAATCATCGCCACCGCCAGTCGCTCACAGCAGCAGCCCAATGCATGTGGCTCAGAGGTCTGATCAGGGGGGCCTGCAGCACCACATGTTTATGGCAGCCACATATGTGGGTTCAAAGTTGTTCATTCGGCGTGCAACTAGGAACCCTAGCATGAGCCCTGTCCAGCAAGAGAACATCAACGGGTGTGCGGCTGTGCCGTGCATGTGTACCTCAGCAGTCTGGGATCCCGGCAGTGATCGAAGGAGGAGAGGAGGACGGTCGAGGAGGGGGATGGGCAGGGGGGGGGAGCGGGAGCAGGAGCGGGGCATGGCAGTTTGGCGCAGGGGGGTTGCTGAGCGTACTCCAGATTTCGTAATAAAGGGAGGGGGGTCTCATTTTGGGGGGGGGTCTCTTCCAGGCTATCTTGGAGGGCCTGGGGGGTCTGGGGACGATGTTTTGGAGGGTTCTCCCACGGGGGAGGTCTGAAATGGCTTGTCTTGGAGGGTCCAGACCCCCTCCCTTTGATTACGAAATCTGGACCGGCTCCCTCGGATCGGCTGCGAGTGCACCGCCCGCAGCCCGAAGTCAACGGCTACCCGCGGTCGTCGACCAAGACCTTGGGATGGGTGCGCCGCCCCCGCGTGGGGAGGGTAGTTCCTGTGCGCACGGGTCCTTCAACAGTCTGCCAGGACGAGGAGGAGGAGGAGGAGCGAGGGAGAGACAGACAGACAGACAGTCACCACAAGCTCCAACCGATGTCTCTGGGGAGAGCTGAATGCGCTGTGCAATTCAAGTGACAGCAAAATCATTAGGAGGAGGAGGAGGAGGACTAGGAGGAGGACCAGGAAGAGAAGGAGGAGGAGGAAGAGGAGGAGGAGGAGGAAGAGGAGGAGGAGGAAGAGGAGGGGGAGGATGAGGAGGACCAGGAGGAGGAGCATGAGGATGAGGAGGAGCAGGAGGAGGAGGAGGAGGAGGAGGAGACGAATACTAATAATAGTATTAGTTGTAAGCGTAATATGAGTAATAATAATAGCAATACTAATAATAACCAGAAGGCGAATAATAAGGATGATAGTACCAAGACTGTCAATCATGAGTAATACGAATCACAGTAATACGAATCATGAATATAATAAGAGGTGGAGGAGGAGGAGGAGGACAGGAGGAGGAGGACAGGATGACAGGAGGAGGAGGAGGAGGAGGAGGACAGGAGGAGGAGGAGGAGGAGGAGGAGGAGGAGGAGGAGCAGGAGGAGCATGAGGAGCAGGAGGAGCATGAGGAGGAGGAGGAGGAGGAGGAGGAGGAGGAGGAGGAGGAGGAGGGAGGGAGGGAGGTTTTTTGTTGATTGGCTCCTCGCTGAAGCATACGGCTTGTCGAGACTGGGTGGCACTGCTGCTAGCATAATATTAAAAATTCTGCACGGGCACCAAGGACGCAAGGACAGTAGTTCCCCTCCCCGTAAAGTATCCACCCACCCTTAAACAGGCCATGAAACCGTGGTGAGTACTGTACACATGCAAGGCACAGAGAGCAGGTGGGCGGTCCTGCAAGCGATGATGCGTATCCCCTGAGGCATTGGCCAACGGGGCGGCAGCACGAGTGTGACTATCTTGCAGGCGAGGCGCAATTATCTTCGCCTTGCCTGAGCACTGAAAGAACATATTCTTCTTCTGCCAGAAAGCCGCGAAGTGAGCAGCAATGATACTGTACGATATCAAAACTCGCACCTTGTCCATTCTTGTACTGCTGGGCAGCAGCTACAGAGAGTGGCTGTACGTGCAACTCTACCTGCGATGTCTCCCCTGAGACGTCGGACAACAAAATGACTGACAGGTCTTGGCGCACGAGCCTGTAGGCTATCTTCGCGTCCTCGTATCAAGCGGCAATGCGACGTTGCCTGAAGGCGAGGGAGGGAGGGAGGGAGGGAGGAGGAGATGGAGGAGGAGGAGGAGGACCAGATAAGCTCAATATGCCGCAGCGATGCTGCAGTGCGTCCTCCTGTGCCAAGTCTCGTCCTTCGTCTCCAAAGGCCTGTGTCTTCACTGCGCGAGGTGCCCCCTCTTGAGAGATGAGGGCCCTGCATGCGGCCCACAGTTGAGGCGACAGGTCCGCTCTGCAAGATGTAGCCCTCCACCCTCCTGCTCCTGCTCCTGCTCCTCCTGGTCCTCCTCCTCCTGCTCCTGTTCCTGCTCCTCCTCCTTCATCCTCCTCCTCCTCCTCCTCCCTCCCTCCTCCCCCTCCTCCCACCCTCCTCCCTCCTCCTCCCTCCTCCTCGCCCTCCTCCTCCTCCTCCTCCTCCCTCCTCCTCCTCCTCCCCCTCCTCCTCCTCCTCCTCCTCCTTTTTCTCCTCCTCCTCCTCCCCCTCCTTTTCCTGCTTCTCCGTCCAGCTATAATCAATCGGACGACACCTGTTCCCATTTTCCGGACCCCGGCTCCCAATGCCCAGCTCCAGCGTCGTGAGCGGCCAGCCCATGGCGGCGCCCTGGCGCCGCATCCGCCGCACCCGCGCACCCTCCATCTTTCCAGCTATGCAGTCGGCCCGAGGTTCAAGATCGAGGTCGCCTCGGGGAGGGTACCCTAACGTTCCCCGTGCTTGTTGGTCGTCCTCGTGCATCTTGGGGAGGGCACCCTTGGATCTTCTGTGTGCTTTGACCGGCGGATGATCTCGTGTTCTTGCGGAATGTTCTTCTGGCCTCGGTCCGACTGGAAGCAATGCGACGAGGTTGGCCGTGAAGTTCAAGCCTGTCAGAGACAGCCCCGCTCTGGAAGAGGAATCGCCTTCGTCTGTATAGTTATTGCACGTGTCAAGGCTTCTGATGGTAACTTCAAACGAGCATATCTGAAGCGCGAGCATGTTTTTGAAAAGGAAGTGCGCTCCGTCTGTGTGGCCATGGACTTTCTGTAACGTCTGGGGATAAGCTGTGAGGAAGTCTCTGGCGTGAGAGAGCTTAGCCCCTATATGAAAGTCAGCCGCCTTCCATCCGTGCATTTGTTAAAAGGTGAGTCTGCGCGGCAAGAAGGCGAGACCCCAATTTGTAAACCAGCCGCCCTCCATCCGCGTGCACGTTTCAATCTTGCAGAGTGTCAGGGGAGGTAAAGTGAAGTGCCAAGCCTGGCTGAACCACACGTCTGGAGTTGAAGGTTCCATCCGTATGAATGCAATGTTCGATAAGACTAGAGTGTGCTGCGCCAAGGCGATAGTCACATTTTGAAAATAACTCGTGCCCCATCCGTGTAAATGCTGGAGTTCCCAACCTTCAAGATCATAGAGTGTGAGGAAGTATCCGGCGAAACGACCGACCAACCCTATCGACAAGTTTGTTTGCGCTACTGCGGTGGGTTAGGGTTAGGAGGAGGTTCTGTTCAGCCAGATCTGGTTTGTTTCTTTTTTTCTTTCTCTCTCTCTCTCTCTGTCTCCCTCCCTCTATGTCCTTCACTCACGCTTTCTCATTATCTCTCTCCGTCATTTTTCTTTTCTCTCTCTCACACACATTTGTTTTTCTCTTTCTCTCTCTCTCTCTCTTTCTTCCAGGTCTTCTTTCGGCCAGCTGAACTACAAACTGTGTTGCAGGGGGGAGCGCAATAACCAGAGATGTAAGTCGGCCGAGGAGAGGGGAGCAAGGAACAGAGATGAGGCAGGGAGGTAGCAGGGAGGGAGGAGAAGATGCCACGGCCAGTGGCGACGGGGCAGGGGGGGGGAGGCCGTGCAGGGTGCGATCGATGTCACATGCCTCATCTCGGCTCTCAGGCCACGGACTTGACCGCAGGAGGCTGGTCGGATCGGTCCGCCTCCTTCCTCCTCCTCCTGCTCCTCCTCCTACTGCTCCTCCCGTTTCTCCTCCACTTGCCCCTTCTTCCCTCACTCCCTCCGCTCCCTCCCTCTTATATCTACTCCCTCCTCCCTGCCTCGCGTCCCTCTCCTCCCCGACCCCTCCCTTTTCGCCCCCCCCCCCCACCCCCAAGGGGCCTCCCGGCTGCCCGCCTCTCCGGTGCCCGCCGCCCAGGTCACGCTGGACGCATCTGGCGCCGGCGGGCCCGTGTTCTTCGAGGCCGCCCTTCCGCGCAGCGCGCAGCGCTGGGAGCCTCGCGGCTTTGCAGCGGCGGTCGGCCCGAGGTAGAAGGTCTAGGTCGGCTCGGGGGGGATATAGCCCCAGAGATCCGAGGATGTTTTTTTTTTTTTCATTGCGGCGCTTTTTCTCAGATTTTGGCCTCCGGGGCCCAGTATCGGGCCCAGGGACTATCAAGCATCGATCTGAGAGGAAAAGCCACCCCCAGGGAAGGGGTCGGGACCTCTGGGGCCGCGGATTGAAAAAATCATGTCGGCGGATGTCTGGGTACCCTCATGTGCTGGAGTCATGTTCTTCGTGTTGGTTGGATGTTCTTGTGCACCCTGGGGAGGGTACCCTTGGGTGTCCTGTGAGGTTTTGCCGGCGGAGGGTCTCGTGCTCTTGAGGGATTATCTTCTGCCCCAGGTCCGACTGTACAGTCGGGGCGCTGAAGAAGGAACCCTTTTCGTTGGGGAGGGGCTCGGTGTTTCCTGATTGTTGAACAGCTTGCCTCTGGTCTTCCTAAGGTCTTCCATGGGACATCGATGTTTAACTTATGAGAAAAAGGGGCCTCGTTCCTTCATTAGGGTTCCTTGGGTCAACGCCCCGACTGTACATGTCCCGGCCGTCCGCAGATCCTTCGGCGTGAGAGGCCCGTCGCGGCGAAGGGGTCGCGAGGTCCGGGGCCCCGAGACCTGAACATGCCGGGTCCTCGGACGCCCGGGCGTGCAACGGCGCCCCTTTGTCCGCTCGCTCTGCCCGATTGCTGGGCACCTGGGGCCCCCTCCTGCTCGTTCCTCGGGAGCGAAAGTCTAGGCCTCCTAGATGGGGTCCGAGTAGATGGGGTCGAAGGATCGAGCCGCATCGCCGATGCATCGGCGATGCGGCTCGATGTGGAGCCCGTGTTTCCCCGCACCGACGTCGCCGATGAATCACTGACGTCGTCGATGCATCGCCGGCGCATCGCCGATACATCGCCGATGTATCGCCGATGTATCGGCGATGCAGCGCGATCCTCCGACCACATCTACTCCGACCCCATCTAGGAGGCCTCTAGAAAGAAGGACGTACATGTACATGGATCCACGCTGGTTTCGAGAGTTCACATTGCACGAATGTTCGTATCGCGCGGCAGGTCTCGCGGGTCAAGGGGCCGTGTTCATGTACATAGCTGGGCGCGTACGTTCTTTGTGGGCTCCCTAGTTCCCCGCGACAGTTTCCGCCGGCGTGCCACCGCAGCATTCTGTTCCACGAACTTCGGAGAGCCATCGGTCAGAGCCCCGGCTCATCAGGGCCAGGGGCGGTCGGCGGCGGCTACACATTCGCGCCGCGGGGGCCCAAACGGGAGTTACCCCTGACTGCAGTTATCCCGGATACTTCGCGCGTCCAGCCCTTCCGAATCATCAGCGCTGGGGGCGGTCAGCGGTAACTAATGCACATTCGCGCCTCAGGGGACCCCAACCGGAGTTACCCCGGACCGCAGTTATTTTGGATACTTCGCGCGTCCAACCCTCTCGAGTCATCAGGGCTTGGGCGGTCAGCGGTAACTACGCTATTGTGGATAATTCGCGCGTCCAACCCTCTCGAATCATCAGGGCTGGGGGCGGTCAGCGGTTACTACACATTCGCGCCTCGGAGACTCAGACCGGAGTTACCCCGGACCGCAGTTATCTCGGAAACTTCGCGCGTCCAACCCTCTCGAAGCATCAGCGCTGGGGGCGGTCAGCGGTATGTACACATTCGCGCCTCGGGGGCCCAAACTGGAGTTACCCGGGACCGCAGTTATCTTGGATAATTCGCGCCTCCAACCCTCCCGAATCGTCAGGGCTAGGGGCAGTCAGCGGGAAATGCAGATTCGCGCCGCGGATGCCCAGACAGGAGTTACCCCGGCCCGCAGTTGTCCTGGATAATGCGCGCGTCCAAGTCGGGGAAGCCCGTTACATGTGAAGGCTCGTAGGCTCAAGGGCTGCAGCATGGAGCGCGCCCCTCCGCAGGCTCCGTGGGGCCCAGAGGAGGCCCAGAGGCCCAGAAGCGGACGGTTGAGGGCTTCCCCGGCCGCCAGGGATTTGATAAATTCTTGGCGGCCGCGTAAGCCATGAGCTATAGGAAGTTGCGCCGAGGGGCACTGACACATCCGAGGATATCGCGCACGAGGCGCGTGATTTGCTGCGAACCTTCCTGGCTCCTTGGGGTCCATGAGAAGAGGTCCCGTCTCAATCTGGACCTCCCTTCTCGTGGGGAGGGAAGGAGAACGGCGTCGTTATATGCAACAGTAACCACGTTGCGCCCTGGCGCGTCCGTTTCGCCGCCCCCGGCTGCGTCCCGGGGGGCTTGCGAGAGGAAAGGAAGGGTTGAGTGCGGAGAGAAGTGCCGAGAGTGCAGCGTCGTCCCAGTCCTGGGGTCAAGCTTCTCACCGCTGAGCGAGGGGGGGGAAGATGCGTGCGCGGGCGGGGGCCTGGTCTGTTTCCGCGAAGGGAACCAAACGCTGGGTTTAAGTCGGGCCTGTCCCCCTCTACAGGAGGAGTATTCAGAAATGATAAAATAATAGTCTGGGGAGTTTTTTTTTCCGGGTATTTTTGAGAATGCTTTTGGGTACTTTTTGAGTTTTTTGTTTGTTTGTGTAGTTTTTCGCCCAGAGCTCGCCTGTATGGGGGACAGGCCCGACCTGACGCTGGAGCCAACGATCCAGAAATGTGGCCAAGTGCATCCACCTTCGCCTGTCAGTGCTCTGCGCGCTTGGCTCGCTATGGCTGCGGCGTCCTTCCGCGCCCTGAGACCGCAAGGCATGTGCTTGCCTCGCCGCCGCGAGGGGGACGGTGCTGGGCTTCTCCCACCCGTGGAGAGAGCGGCGCGCAGGCGTCGCCGTGGCCCGACGCTCTCGCGCCGGCCGCCACCTCCCTCCGGCTTTATACCTGCCGCGGGCGCCGACGTGCCGGTGTTGAGTCGGGCCTTTCCCTCCACAGGAGGAATAGTCGCAGATAGTCAAACAAATCCTCTGGGGACGATCTTTGGCTTGTTTTTGGAGCATTTTTGGAGTACATTGTGGGTATTTTTGTACTTTTTCGTCCAAGATCCGCCTGAAGGAGGACAGGCCCGACCAACTGCCAGTGCCGCCAGCTGGCGACTCGGATCCCGCCGACGGTGAGTGGGATCCGCGTGGATTGCCGCCCTGGATTCCACCTCCCACTCAGGAAGAGACCGATCTTGAAAGGCCAGAGAAGGCGGCGCGAGCTGTTGGGGATGAGGTGCGGCGGCGAGGGTTGAGCGCATCAGAGTACACCCCGTGAGCTCAGCGCGTATGCCTGAATAGTCAGGTATCTCTGCAGAACTGCCGGCGCTGCCGACCTCAGCCAGCCCGATCCCGACGACGCGAAGCCGCTGCAAACGATGCTTTGCGCGAGCGTAAACGAAGCTGGGCCATGCCGAGGGCAGAACGATTAGTCTCTCGTGCGTCTACTAGCGTCACCAACGACGAAGGCGTTGCGTGCCGCCCAGATACAGGACAAATGACGCTGGCGTATGCCTTCCGGTATAGCTATCGTGGTGTATTCTTCGCACGGGGAGCCCCCGTCGGAGAAGCCCGACGTTGCCGTGACGGTGCAAACCAACGCTGGCGACCAGATCGGTCAGGTGACCTCCAGGGGGCATGGGGCGCGCCAGCGTCCTCAGATGGCAGCTGCGTTGATCGATGTCCGATGCGGGATGGCAGAGGTCCGCGCGTCTCCGCTGCGTCGTACTGCATGTTTTGCTTTCTCTGATTCCACTCGCCTTTCAGGCGGCCAACGCGGCTCGGCTGTGTGGGGAAGCCTCTAGTCGGAGAAGACCACTATTCACCCGCTCACCCAGTCAGTGGCGCTAGAACGAGCGGTGGCACGAACGTTGACGTGACTGCGTCCGTGATGTTGCAAACTATCGCTTATCCTTAGCGTGAGTTGAGGTGGGCGTGTCGGCTATCGAGTCCGATGACTCTCTACGATGGCTCCTGGGTGAGGCGAAACTTCAGCATGGTTGGGCCCCTCGGTTGAGTGAAGACGTCCTGATTGTAGATGTTTGACGACACATTGACATGACATCTTCTGGTCGCAGACAGTCTTTTGCAACCGGATCGCAAGCGTTGCGAAAGAGAGGGACCAGACATATATCGGTGGTTCAGCGGCCAATGTGTGCTCGACTGCTTGCCCGACGACCTCGCGCGCTTTGTCCAGCTATTGGGGAGTTGAGGAGCATGTTTGGGGGTGTTGTGCTGATCGGGCTGGGATCAGGCAGTTCTTGGATCATCCGCAACTCCTTTTTCGACGCTGCAGAATAATCCATCTAAAGTATAACCTATGCGAAGCGTTCGTTCCGACGATCAACATCTCGACGTGCTCCGAGGTCAGTGGGTCTCAGGGAGACGATCGGCGTTTCCAGGCGGGCCCCCAGGCTGAGCGCCAGATGGCAGCTAGAGCACGTCTGACTCTCTCGGCGGCGGTAGAGGTGGGGGTCGCGCGCGCTGCGTGGACCATGGGGCCTGCTGCCTTGATCCCAGACATCCTCCTCCTCCTCCTCCTCCTCCTCCTCCTCCTCCTCCCTCCACCTCCTCCTCCTCCACCACCAACTCCTCCCTCCAACTCATCACTCAAGCCAATGCAGCCCCAATCGCGTAGAACCTTTTTGCTCGAACGCGTCATGGAGCCGCGCCCCGCGCTTCCACGCAGTGCATCAGCTCGGTGTTGAGCCAAACCATTACCATCTACATCATCTGATGTCGTGTCTAGGTGCGACCCGCCGCCTCGCCTCGGCGGTGGCGCTGGGCAAACGCGTGATGGTGCAGTCTTGCCCGATCTTCAGTGAGTCCTTGTTTGCCAGTGCCGCGAACACGTGATTGCGTGGTCAGTCAACGACGTGCGCAGCGACGGCGTGAGGGCGCTTCCATTCGCCGGATGCAACCCACGTTGCCGCCGCGCCTGTTTCATGGCGCTGCCGCCTCCGGCGCGCCCGCCTGCAAAGGTGGGGGGCCAAGCGACCGCCTGTGACCCGCCGGCCAGCAAGGGTTGCGCTCCTGCAGCTGCGCCTGCGAGCCACGCTGCGCGGGGTCAGTCAGCGCCGAACCAGCAAGCCCTGGAGCACTTCGAGGTGTTTCCCCAGTGAAACCACTGCGTGCCATCTCGCCAGCTGCAGCTCTTATGGCAGCGGGCGCGTGGAGGGCTGCAGTGGGAAAGCAGGCCGCCGCCGAAGGTGGGGCTGGAGGAGGGGCGCCGACGCTGCGGCTGGCTTGCTCGGGGTGAAATGGGTGATCGCGGGAAAAACCCCGTTCGTAGTTTTTTCGCGGGGACTTTTGGTATCTGGCCGATTTCGCGGTGGTGGTCCGTCTGCGGGAAATCTGCCGAATGCGGCGCTGGCAGCGCCTTATCGCATCGACCAGGCCTTCGCGCATTGAACGCGCCGCGAAGTGGATTCCAGTGGCAGAGTCGACTTCGCCGTTTTCCTCCCGACCATCTTCAGGAGCGCATGAATCGCTACTCATATTGGAGGGAGGAGAGTTGGTAGGGCCAGATCGTTGTGTCGGCGCAATTGTCTAACTACGAAAAAGTATGTCAAGAACAGGGCCGAGGACCGAGTGGGCGCGGCGAGGTTTTGAAAGGTGAATTTCACCTTTTTTCCGGCGGAGGCAAGGCATGATGCTTTAGTGCGACCGAGGACGGCCCGCGCCAGAGCCGCGCCGACTGTTGGTCGGTGGAAACGTTACGGGCATCAAAGCACAGGGCTTCGCCATGGTCGCTGAGCACGACGGGGATGCAGCGTGCGTGGATGAAGGCGCACTGATTGCCTTCGGGGCGGCGGCGTGCGTGCGCGCGCGTATGTGGGGAATTTCAAACGTGGGTTTCAGGACAAGCGGTTCTTCGCAGCCAAGCGCTGCGCCTGGATGGATCAAGATGCGCTGCCACTCCTGTGGCGCGGCGCGAAGCGTCATTGCGTACCCCCGATCCTCAGCGCCAGCGCCATGCACGGTGGGCCCCTGCACCTTCGCCAAATGGGCCTTCGTGTTGGCAGCCTGCTGGAGCAACCCGGTTGCCCGGATGACAAGTTCGATCTTCCCGCCTACAGATGGAACGCGCGCGCGTGGATCGGCATGGGCGCACGCGAAGCTACCGGCTCACGATTCATTTCCTGATGTGCGCAGGAAGGTGCTGTGATGTCGGTCGAGATTTCCGCCGCAGTGCATTCCATGCGTCTGCACTTGCCGTGCGTTTTTCATCCACGCAGGCGGGCGCCTGACGAGGAAGCGCTGGCATTGCGCCGTGCCCTCCCAAACCCGCCCGCGCATGCGAGGCCACAGTTTGAAGTCTGCGCGGGGGCAGCCCGGCGCCGAGAACGCGTCGGGGTAACCCGTCGTTGCTTCCCTTTCCCGCGGACGATGCGTTTCTCCTGTGGGCGTGGCCCGTCGGTTCGGCGCGCGCGCAGCGGGGGCGTGGCGCGCAGATTTTCCAAGGTCGAAGGCAACGGCGAACGCGACCAGCATGGGCGTGGGGATATGAATGATGCGATGCTCCGAAATGCGCGCCGATGGGGCGACCTTGCTGTTCTGCCTCTCGGGCAGCTGCCGAGGGCTATGGCTGCCGTCGAGGCCGACCTGGTGGAGGGGCGCCTTGGCGCTCTGTGTCCGTGGCGCCATGTCGTTCTCACCGCCGGGGGCAAGGCGGGTAGCGCCGCGCGCCTTGGATGCTAATCCCCCCCTTCGGGGCGACTTCGGTGGGCGCGACTTCGACTGCCAGCTGTCGCGCGACGCGATCGAGGCGGCAGCTCCGGGAGTCGTCGACTTGAACGATGGGGGGGGTCGCGCGCCGGGGCGATCGCTCCCACTGGGGTGATGCGCTTGTCGATCTCGAGCGGTCTCGCCGCGCGACCCTGCGCGGGAAGGGGGCGGCCGCGTGCCGGCGCTGGGGCTCGGGCCCAGAATGGCAAGCGTCATTCGCCGCGCATGCGTGCTCTAACGGGTGCTGCGCGTCCGATCGTTGCCGAGATCGGCGGTGGCGCGAGCAGATGGGCGCTTGCGGTGTCAGGGCGGTTGGTCCTGGTGCGCCCGACCGCGTGGCTGGTCCTGGCCCCCAGGGTTCCGCGCCGCGTCCGGCTTGCATGCAGGCCCGCGTCTCGTGGGGGCCCATTGCCTGTCTTCCCGGGGATGGTTGCATGAGGCGGGCGACTTTTCTGCGAGAGTCAGCGACTTGGGAAGGGCGCGTTAAACTCTACGGCGACTGTTATCTCAGCGCGGTAGCTCTTCCTGTGCCGCGGCGGGGCAGCCCGCCGCTCCGGGCCGAGCGCCGCCCCGCCCGCCTCCGAGGGCAGGACCTGTCGGCCATGTCGGGGGGGCTCAGTGGCCCGCGCCAGGGTTTTACACCTGCGACCGCGCCGCGAGGCTAAAAAGACCGCCATAGTCGGCCGCTGGCCGACAGGGCAGCAGACCCCCGCGTCAGCTTCTCCGCGCGACTGGGCCCATTTTCGACAATCCGCCAATGCCAGCTCAGCGCGGAGTTCACGTTTGGCCCCTGGGCTCGTGGGCCCAGGTGGCGGCCGACAGCTGCAGATCGAGGTGCCCGAGCCGGGCGTGCTGGAGGGCCCGCGGATTCGTCGGCCCCCGCCCGGAGCGCGGGGCCGCGCGCGGGTGGCCCGCGGCCCCGACCCGCGACGGGGCCCGTGGGAGAGGCGCCCACAGCCGTGCAGAGGCTCGGGCAACTGGGTAAAATTGGTAGGGCCAGGAATGGTGAAGCTCGCGGCATGGGCGCCTGTCGGCCTCCTTGCTGTCTTCTCCGCTTGTTATTCTTTCTCCTTCGCTCTTCTTTCCACGTTCTGGGGGATGGGCTTCGTCTTTTTGAACGTGCAACGTTGTCTTGTGCGTGATCGTCGCCACCGCCGTGTCGTGGAACTGCCTCGTCTGCCTCAACCCCTGCAGAAAGTCCAGTGTCGCGCCGTTGGGTGCTTCATCGTTGTGATTATTTTGATGCTTGTCGGCCGCAGCTGCTGAGTGGGTTCAGCGTGGCCGGAGGAGGGGCGTCTCGCTCGCTCTTCTCGGGGGCGTCGCGCCTTGTTTATTTTCGGTCCCGGGCATTTCCTCCGCTCTCCTTTTCTCGGGCGGGCCCCCGGGTAAATCAGAACCGGGGGGCCCGCGGCCAGTTGGGAGTTTTGCGGCGGGGGTGGGGTGGTTTTTTTTTGGCCCTTCGGACTTGGCGCGCGCTTGTGTTAGCGGGAACCCCGCTTGGGTTTTGGAAGTTCCTTCGGTCCGTCATGGTCTTTTCCCGCTGCGCTCTCTCTCGTCTTTCTCTCCCCCCCGAGGATCCGGGGCGAGGACTCCGCCTCCTCGTGGCCGTCTTTTCTCGCGAGGTGGCTGCTGGGGCACCGCGCGCGCGGCGCTCGCGGCCCGCCGTCGTCGTCGTCGTCGTCGTCGTCGTCGTCGTCGTCGTCGTCGTCGTCGTCGTCGTCGAGTGTGTTGCAAGCGGTCGATGGCCAGTCGCGCCAACCCTCGTTGCCATGGCTGGATTCACGTTTGAAATAATTGAAAAGTTCGGCTGCACCTGTCTCTGCTGAGGCCGTGGCTCTCTCCACGGCCACCTGTCACTGCAGCTGGAGCCTTGCGTAACAATTTGGCCGCTTGCAACCGCGAGCCGAGGCTTCGCCGTCTGAATTGAGGCTTCGGACTCCGGCCCGACCGCTGGAACAACCCCGTGCGCGCAGTTCCGGGGTGGGCGCGGCAGGCGTCGTGGGGCCTCCCAGCTACTTGTCAGTTTTTCTTCCGTTCTCCGCCATTTGGCTTGGCCTGCCCGTCGGTCTCCTGTGCCCACCCGCCTTCGTGGGCACTCGTTGCTGGCGTTCACGAGTTGTTTCTCGATCGTGGCCCCCACTCGGAAAATGCAGCCGCCCATCATCCACGTGGCTGTTCAGACTCCTCTCATTTCTATAGTTGCTCGTGATTCGAGTGTGTGATGCGAAAACCCATTTTGCACGCGACTTGTGTGTTCAATCCGTATGGAAAATTGTTAAAATGTGTGCGCGTGTGTGGGCGACACCAAGGCGAAGGCCACACTTAAAACGACGTGTGGTCCATCCGCGTGGAACTTTATGCATCGAATATGGTGAACAACGGGGCGGGAACCGCACGTGAATTGTGCTCCATTCGTGTGGGGCAGGGGATGCAGATGGAGGTGGATGAATGGATGATGGATCAGGATGCAGGAAAAGCCGGAAAAGGAACACGACGAGGGGGGTGATAATGTCGGCGCTGATGGCGCTGATGTTATCGATTGGTATTCAGCAAATGATGAATGGACAGGAGGCGGCTCGGGCTAGGGCATCGCGACCGGAGCCTCGCCACCAGGGGGCTTACGACAACGCGGCCAGCAGAAGGCGCCGGCAGAAAGCGCCGCATGGCGCGGCCTGAGCGGCGGCTGGTTTTCTTGCTCCACCGCGCTGCCCAAGCGTGGAGCGCCGGCTTGGGATGAGGAAGGTGGGGGTGGGGAGGGGGGAGGGAGCGGGGAAGCGGCGGCCCGAGTGGTGGCTGGCTCGTGGCGGCCGACCAGACTCGGGCTGCCCGATGGAAACGGGGCCACCACCTTGAGTTTCAGGCGGGAGGTCGCCCTTCTTGTGGGGGCGGAGAAGCGGTGCCGGAGCAGGCGAGGCAAAAATAGAGGTTCTGGGGGGCATATGAAGGGAGAAGACAGCGTGGAGTAGGTCCAGGGTCGCAGTGGGCTGGAGATGATGATAGTGGTGGTGGTGGTGGGTAGTCACTGTGATATGACAGTGTTGATGACGATGTTGAGGAGCATGCGTATGACAATGCATATACATACGATTGGTCTGATGATGACGCGTACATGCGGACGACACCTAGGAACACTGTTATTGGTGTAGACAGGAATATAATTATTAAGACGGTGGACGTTGACGATGATGGTGTTCATGATGGTGATGGTGGTTACAATACGGACGATTGTAATGCTGGCGATGATGACGATAATGATGGTGATGATGATGATGGTGGTGGTGGTGGTGGTGGTGGTAGTTAGGAGGAAGCATGATGGTGACGATACTAATTTTAGTGTTGATGTTGGTAGTGATGTCAATGGTGGCTATGATGATGGTCGTAACCATGCTTATCATGATCATGATCACACAGACCCTGATCATTATCGTATTCTGGATCATGATGGTGATGGTCATGGTGATGGTGATGCTGATTGTGATGATGGGTATACTGACGCAATGACGGCGGTGACATTGTGCTGATAGCGATGGTGGTGGGGATGATGACTGGAGTTGTACCAGCAGCAGAAAGCGGAGTGGAAGGCTGAGTAGAAAGATGCGAAGGAATTTGCGAAGGAGGGCGAACGATGAGGGCCTAGATAAAGGGTCATAAGACGGGCTCCAAGGGCCAGAGGGGCAGTGAGGGGGAGGATTACCCGCACGACGAGAAGAGGAACGACGCGGAGGGAGATGGAGAGGCCAAGCGGGAGGGTCAGGGGGGGACCGCGAGAAGGATGATGAGGAGGGAGGAGGACGTAGAGGACTTGGTCAGGAGGAGGAGGAGGAGGAGGAGGAGGAGGAGGAGGATATAACAACCCGCATATGGCAGAGGGGGCGGAGGTAGCATGAGGAGGAGGCGGAGGAGGAATAGGAGGAGGAGGAGGAGGAGGAGGAGGAGGAGGAGGAGGGAGGAGGAAAAAGAGGAGGAGGCGGAGGAGGAGGAGGAGGCGGAGGGAGGAGGGCGGAGAAAGGAGGCTAGTGATGCGACGCGCGGCTTCTCTTGCGACGCGCGGCTTCGCTGCGTGCGTGCTCGCACGGGACGCTGGGCCGGGTGCGTGGCTCCTTGGGGCCCCACGAGGGCCCACCACTTACGCCACCACCTGGCCTGGCTCCCGAGTGTAACAAAAAGGTCGGGGCCGCGCCTCCCCGCGGCGTCGGCTGGGAAAGGGGGCTGGCGAAGCGAGAAGAGAAAAGCCAGAGATGATGAGTCTGTTTTCCACCACCGCCACCATAAGTTGGAGGGGGGAAGGAGGAGGAGGAGGAGGAGGAGGAGGAGGAGGAGGAGGAGGAGGGCGAGGAGGAGGAGGACGATGAGGAGGAGGAGGAGGATGAGGAGGAGGAGGAGGAGGCGGAGGATGACCCCCCCCCTCCAACTTATGGTGGTGGCGGTGGAAAATACGCCCATCAAGAGACAAGGCAGGCGTGAGGATCGGGAGTGTGACGACACGTCGGGGGCGCAAGGCGGCGACTGCCGCGATTGAACTCCGCACGCGCCAGTCCAGAAAGTGAAGCGGCTGGCAAACCACAGATCGAGTGGGGAAGCGTGGGAGGCTCGAAGGCCCGACGGGCATGCGCCAAACCAGCCCAATAGGGGAGAGCCAGAGGAGCGAACGCCGAGCGCGAAACGGTGGCTGACAGAGCAGCAGCGAAGCAAGTCACCCAGCAGTGCGCGGATAAGCGATCAGCGCCAGCCGAACGAAATGGGCACGAGCACCCGAGCGGGACCGCACAGCGACGAAAGGCAAGCGTAGCTACAACGAGCGTGCCTGGCCGCGGCCGCGAGCGGTGCGAGACCAAACGCGCACGGGGGCGAAGGGGGGAGACCTGGAAGGGCGGGGGGGGGAAAGGCAAACTGGCAGCCCCAAACTGAACGACAGGGTAGGGCAAACTGCTGTACTGCTGCGCATGCGACTGATAACAGGCCAAACACAGCTGGGGCCAGAAGCAACGCAGAGACGAGTGCAAGAGCGAACGGACAGGCCAAGCAGAAGTGGGGCCAGAAGCAACGCAGAGACGAGTGCAAGAACGAACGTCTCGCACGCCTGTTGATTACGAGCGCAGACACTCAACTCAGAAACAACTAGCTGTGCCGCAGAATTCGCGCTGGTGACTGGGCGGGAACCCGTCAGAGAAGGAGACCGAGGGGGGGCGCCCCACAAACAGAGAACCTGGACAGACTTACGGCGATGCCTAGAGTCCGCTGCAAAGAGAATGGGAGCGATGATGACTGCAATGACCTTCGAAGAAAGACAATGCCGAGTACAGCTAGTCAACATCGAATGGCCTAGTTTCCTGACACGGGGAACATATTGCCATATGCCTGTGGTCGGCGATTGTACCAAGCAATCCAGCTGTCCTTCTCGTGCTGGGGAGCGAATGCAATCCAGCATACCCTACACAGACAAGCCATCACATGGCTATTCTGCGAAGCCAGCCATCGTGCGAGATATTCTCGCAGTGCAGACACGCGGGCGGCTTGTTGGGTAACTTTGGAACATTGTAGCGGACCATCAGCTGTTAGCTCTGGAAACGTGCCACGTCCTACCCATCGCGAGCGATCTGCAGCTGGGAGGCTGCACTTAGTCGACAGAATCCTCCACTGCCTCTCCTGAATCCTTGTGGGGCGGCTGGTCGCACTTCGTTGCCTGGAACGACTCGCGTGTGGGCAGTGGTGGACGCCTCGTGCTGTGGCAGAGCGCAGAATTGCACGGCAACTTCGTAAGTGAGCCCTGCCCGCCTGGCCTGGATGTGCGCGTCGACGTCCCCCGTGATCATCTGCTGCTGGGCCCTCGCGTTGTCGGACCTGTGCTCCCAGCAGCCAGTGTTCGCGAGGAGGAGACAACTCTCGGGCTACAGCCCTAGGGCTCCGTCGCCTGGCATCCTCGGCCTTCAGACGTGGTGATCGGGAGTGCAAGCGGGGGCGGCCCACTGGAGCAGGCGCGGGGGCACCCTGAGTCCGAGAAGAACGACGGGGCTGCGCGTCAGCATAGCTTCTGGCGAGGACCGATTGCACATCCAGCTGAGCCTCCGCAAAGCCCGCGCAAGCCTTGAGGGCACGACGCCCAGCAGCCAGCTCAGGCGGGGAACGTGCGTGCGACCTGGGGAGGCGACCAAAGGCGACCCACTGTGACAGGCGCGGGTTCAGACGCAGGAGCCGAACGCGGGCGAGCGGAAGCATCAGTGGCAGACCGCGTCGAGGACATGAGAGACCATTGGTTGAGCCGGCGCTGCTGTTCGTCGACAGGTGGGGGAAGCGGGGCACCCAAGGCCTTGACTGCACATCCTGTAGGCGAATCTCCGACAATTCCTGGAGGAGGTGGAACATGGAGAGACGCTGCCACCACTGCTGCGCCACTGGCTCAAGCTGCAGACGTGAGAGGGATATCTAAGGGGGGCGGGGGAAGCACAAGGGTGCCTGGCCCCTGCACTCCTGGCAGTCGTGGAACTGGAACAGCAGCAGACGGCGCCACGTCAGCACTCCGGGGAAATGAGGGCGGCAGATGGTGAGGAGGCCCAGGAGCAGGAAGAGCTGGGGGCAGCGGCGGCGCCGCGGGCTGCTTCGACGGCGGAGTAGGAGGAGTAGGCAGGCCGGTGCCTCTCATTCCGCGCCTGCATGACGCGGGCAAGAGGAGGAGGAGGAGGAGGAGGAGGAGGAGGAGGAGGAGGAGGAGGAGGAGGACCAAGAAGAGGGAATGGAAGAGGTGGAGGAGGAGGAGGACAAGGATGAAGAGGAGGAGGAGGAGGACGAGGAGGAGGAGGAGGACGAGGGCGAGGAGGAAAAGGAGGAAAAGGAGGAAAAGGAGGAGGAGGAACAGGAGGAGGAGGAGGAGGAGGAGGAGGACAAGGATGAAGAGGAGGACGAGGAGAAGGAGGAGGACGAGGGTGGAGGAGGAGGAAGATGAGGAGGAGGAGGAAGATGGGGAGGAGGAGGAGGAAGAGGAGGAGGAGGAAAAGAGGAGGAGGAGGAGAAAGATGAGGAGGAAGAAGAGGAGGAAGAGGAGGAGGAGGAGGAGGAGGAGGAGGCGGAGGAGGAGGAGGAGGAGGAGACTTCCCACAGGACTCATTCTTCCCCACAGTCCATTCTGTTCATTTCAAGGAACGACCCCGTGAAAGGCCAACCCCCACGTAGGCCTGCCACTCAGGTGGCGTCACCGTTTTTTGAAAAGGAACTGCCGTCCATACTCTTGCGATCTAAAAAGAATGCGAAGACGTGGGATCGCACATTTCAGCTAAGTGTCCTCCGATACCCCCGTTTCGAATGAGAAATATAAGTATCGCTTCCCCATCCATGCAGTTTACGCATCAGCTGAACACTCCGTGTCACCAGATATGAGGTAGCCTCACGCGATATCCCGCTATTGAAAAGACGCCGCCCTACATCCGATCTGCTGTTACATGTTCAGGTATCTGGCCTCTCACGCGGAAACAATCTCGAAGGGTGGCCCAATCATGAAACGGAGCTGTCGTCCATCCTGCGGGGAAGCCCATGTTGAAAAGAGTCGTCGCCCATTCTCGTGAATGCTGCACGCGTTTTATGGCGAATGTGCGAGGTGCTAAAGCGAGATTCCCGTTTTTAAAAGGAACCCTTCTCCATTTGCCAGCTGCTTGCGGCAAGTCCCGCCGCCGTGCCATCCCAGCGTTTTGGTCGGCGACTGTTCGAGGGGGCCCGGGAGGCCGTCACGTGTGACCCCTCGTGCCT